GGAGTCCCAAAGCCTTAGAAATGGCTTTATAACTCTTTCCAGACTGATACATATGAACTATTTTGATTCTCATCTGTTCTTGAATTTCTTTAGATCACGGCATGATGTGTTGCTCTTTAAGCATGCTTCACTTTGTCACACAGGTTCTATTTAAGTGATTTCTTGATTCAACAGGTCTGGCAGTAATCAGACCTGGGTGTGGCTAGTGAAATTTAACTCCCCTTTTTTCCCTTAATAAATGAAATCATCATTTAAAAACTGCATTTTGTATTTACTTGCATTATCTTTGTGTATTATTAAAATTAGTTTGATGATCTGAATCTTTTAAGTGTGACAAATATGCAAAAAATAAAGGGGAAAAAACCTTTTCACGGCACTGCATATAATACATATATTTCTTTAATATATACATGTCTGTATGTTTATATATACACACAGTACACGTAATCAATTAATCACGATTAATCGATTTGACAGCAGTCATTTCCTTCCTACAATAAATAGAATATTTTCAAAATTATAACGGGTTTGTTGTACGATTTTAACTAACAATTTAGGGGTGTACATACAATTAAGGCATTGAAAACTAGCTATTTTATTTATGTTCGCTAATAGTTCAACGCATCTAAGTACTCTGTCCAAAGAACATGAGATTTGTGTTTACAAAACAAGTGCAAGTGTCATATTCTTTTGGCTTTATAAGAAAGAAAAAAAAAAAGATCAAGATGCAGACACATTGCACAAAGTAAGGAAAGAGCGATGGGCAGATGTCTGCCAGGTTTAGAAATATTTCCTGTGTTCCATAAACTTGGCGAGGTTACTGTGAGAAATAGAGATATGACTGCAGGCTTTGAGGGATGACTGACTCATCTTCAGACGATTACAGGCAGCAGATTCCATCCATAACAGCTGACTTGCTACATTCTGGTGCACATATGGCCAAATGTGGTCATCTGCTGCATACAAAGGTAGGGCTACATCTCCGAATAAAAGCTTGATCAAGAACAAGCTTCTCAAACATACACTGAGCAGCTCATGATAAAACATTGAGGACTCCAGCAGAGAGATGTGGGGGGCTGTATCTTCCCCAATATAAACCTTCTGTGGTACACAAGACAAATATCTGCACAGCTGTGCGCTTTGGACACGCTTGTAGGATGTGTACTGGATGCTTTGCCTCCAATTAAAGGATCCCAGCATCATCGGTTCTGCAGAATAAAACTCTTCAGTAAACAAGGGTCACGGAGGTCGCAGTGTGCAGCTGTGTGCTGTTGTGAAAGATTGGACACCCACTCGAAGGCCGACGTGGTCTTGTAAAATCTTCAGGGGTTCTCTCCTGTGACTGCGCACCTGTGCTTAGATAGACTCAGAGATGAAGGGGACAGAACTATTAAGATGAGAGCTGAGCACTGTTCCTCCAATCCCTCCGGGAAGACTGAATGCTTTGGAAACCAGGCGCATGAGAAAATAACAGTGTCTCAATCCTGGTGAACATCAAAAGGTAACGTGCACAGAACACAGGCCAGGAGCATTTAACTTTAGCAGTGATTCTGCAGGCTTGAGGCGGATTTTGGGTTTACAGAGAGATTTCTTTCATTACGGGCAGTCTTGGATCACTTAGTGCTTAAGCTCACGATGGCTGATCAATCAACAATGCAATTAAATATTAGGTCACAGGAACACAGTGTGATGCTTTTACAACAGACTAATGAAGACCCAATAGAAGCACAGAAATTGAAACACAAAGGTGTTTGTGAGAGAGATGTTCAGAAAAAAATTAATGCTTGCAAGGTAAATGTATTTGTCGCATCATTCTTGTATGATTTCTTTAAGTGTTTTGGTGTTACATTAACGGTAAAAGACAAAAAAAACCGTAAACTATATTATCGCTCAGTGATTTGTAAACAAACTGTACTGATGTACTATATGTGACCCTGGACCACAAAACCATTTTTCGAAATTGAGATGTATGCATCATCTGAAAGCTGAATAAATAAGCTTTTTATTGATGTATGTCAGGATAGGACAATATTTGGCCGAGATACAAGTATTTGAAAATCCTGAATCTGAGGACGTAAACTATATTATCGCTCAGTGATTTGTTAACAAAATGTACTGATGTACTATATGTGACCCTGGACCACAAAACCAGACATAAGGGTCAATTTTTCGAAATTGAGATGTATGCATCATCTGAAAGCTGAATAAATAAGCTTTTTATTGATGTATGTCAGGATAGGACAATATTTGGCCGAGATACAAGTATTTGAAAATCCTGAATCTGAGGGTGCAAAAAACAAAACAAAAAAATCTAAATATTGAGAAAATCACCTTTAAAGTTGTCGAAACGAAGTTCTTAGCAATGCATATTACTAATCAAAAATTACGTTTACGATATTTACGGTAGGAAATATCTTCATGGAACATGATCTTTACCTGAATCTGAGGGTGCAAAAAACAAAACAAAACAAAAAAAATCTAAATATTGAGAACATAGCCTTTAAAGTTGTCGAAACGAAGTTCTTAGCAATGCATATTACTAATCAAAAATTACGTTTACGATATTTACAGTAGGAAATTTACTAAATATCTTCATGGAACATGATCTTTACTTCTTTTGTTAATGATTTTTGGCGTAAAAAAAAAATCAATCATTTTGACCCATACAATATATTGTTGGCTCTTGCTACAAATATACCCCAGCGACTTAACACTGCTTTTGTGCTCCAGGGTCACATATATCCAACTTTTAATATGAATATAAGGCAACACTTTAGTACAGGGACCAATTCATTATTATTAACTAGTTGCTTATTAGCATGCCTATTATTAACATATTGGCTGTTTATTAGTACTTATAAAGCACATGACCATATTCTACATCCCTAATCCTAGCCAACACCTAAACTTAATTACCTTACTAACTATTAATTAAAAAGAAGCAAATTAGGAGTTCGAGGCAAAAGTCGTAGTTAATGGTTAGTGAATTGGAGCTTAAAATAAAGTGTGATCGAATATACTATATGAACGCAGGTAATCGATACACTACACAGCAAATCCAGACTCTATGACTATATTCTCGCCCAGCTCTAATCGGCTTAATGCAACTGTATGGCATGAGAATATTGAAATCTTGTCAAAATTATCATTGTGCTTTCTGTAAAGCTGCTTTGAAACGATGTGCATTGTGAACAGTGCTATACAAATAAATGTGATTTCGCTTGACAAATTGAAACAACACACTACTATGTTTTCTGCTGACAGACAAAACAGAGAAAAGCGGGTGGTATGAAGCGGTTTTCACCTTGGGCAGCATGGGTGTGGCCCGCTTGCTCTTCTTCTCAGATGGATCGTCCAGCTGGTCGGGCTCAAACGCGTACAGCTCCGTCAGTTCGTTCATGGTAAAGTGGCGTTCAATCTGCTGTTGGTCTACAACTCTGAAGGACAGCGACTGTTTGGCGATCTGCCGGTCATAGATCTTGTCCTCCATGGTTCCCTACAGAAAAGAATCATGTCAAAAAACATTACAGATCTGATCTGCCCTGTCTGTGAATAAACCTGTATATTTCTCCATGCAATAAACACAACAAATAAAACTACATTTCTCACCTGAGCCAAAAACCTGTAGACGAACACGGTCTTCACTTGGCCAAAGCGATAGACTCGGAAAATACTCTGAATGTCGTAGGATGGGTTCCATGAGGCGTCGAAAATTATGACCCTGTTTGCAGCTACCAAGTTGATCCCAAGAGAACCAGCTCTGGTTGAGATGAGGAACAATCGCCCCCTGAGGAGGAGAAGAACAAGAACACAAGTGCTTTCATGGAAAAGCGAGAAACGGATCCACTGTTTGACACTCCAGGGCTCCAGACTGCGACCAAATGGTCATATTTTGTGACCATTTTTTCTGCCCGTGCGACTAAATTTTGTGTGCGGTCGCTCGTAAGTGCTGCCACTTCTGTTGCATATGAGAAACATCAAACGCATAACGAAACTCAAAGCATAAAGAAACCGCGCTGCTCGTTTGAGCCTGGTTTATACTCGCCGCGTCAACAAGAGCGCGAAGCTGCGCGCAGCAAAAATGACGCGAATATTAAGGAAACGATGGATGGTTTTAATGCTAAAGTAAAGTAAAAGACAGCTTCTTAAACCAGAGAAGTTAAACATGCTGGTATTCTTGTGGGGGAAAAAAAAACATGCAAGCACTGTCACCAAAAGCAAGTTACATTTTTATTTTGAAAAGCTTGTTATCTTTGCCGTTTACCTGGCGTTATGCTATGGAGGCTCTCTTTTATTTTTTTTTTTATTTGATTCCTCAGTGTTTGTGAAACATGCTGTAATTTAGTAGTCGGTATATAATACAGCATGTGGTGTATGCCTCATCTTATTCGGTTTTGTTAATAAACGTTGTGTAAGCTAGTTTGGCATTGTAGGCTCTCTTACCGTTTTATGGTTGTTGTGCTTTTTTAATTAAGAATAACAATGAATCCATCTTTCGTTTTAGTCTTAAAAAGTGAAAGCTGTATAGATGTACGTAAGCCAAACAGACAATAATCTTTTCTTGCAAAACGTGACAACAAGATGGCGAAATCGAAAGCATCTGAAGCCCGAGGCTTATAACACGGCAAAAGAGGAACTCCCGTTCACAAAATTCAAATCACAAATAATACTACTGATGAAAAACAACGGGCTGAATGTTAACCACTTTCGCTTCCATATAACTATAAACTATGATAAAAGTTCATCAGCACGCATTGATTAAATGTTGATAAAAAACAAAAATCGCGACCAAATGTGACCCTGGACCACAAAACCAGTCATAACGGTCAATTTTTTCGAAATTGAGATTTATACATCAGCTGAAAGCTGAATAAATAGCTTTCCATTGATGTATGGTTTGTTAGGATAGGACAATATTTGGCCGAGATGCAACTATTTGAAAATCTGGAATCTGAGGGTGCAACAAACTCAAAATATTGAGAAAATTGCCTTTATTTAACAATGCATATTACTAATCAATGAAGTTTTGATATATTTACGGTAGGAAATTTACAAAATATCTTCATAGAACATGATCTTGATTTTTGGCATAAAAGAAAAATCTATAATTTTGACCCATACAATGTATTGTTGGCTATTGCTACAAATATACCCCAGCGACTTAACACTGCTTTTGTGCTCAACCAACTGATAAAGTTAGTCGCAAACGAGCGACCAGTGGGAAGAATGAGTCTGGAGCCCTGCACTCTAAAGGGAAAAGTGCCTTTACCGAACATTACTGGTGTCATTGAAGTCCTCTGCCCATTTCTTCCTGGTCACGGCATTCGTTGAACCATCTAGACGATAGTAGTCAAGGTTTCTGAACCACTTGCCCTCACCTGGAGAAAAACATCAGCACAGCCAGTCAACAATCAGTTTCGAGCAAATATTGAATGCAGCTGTCAGCCCTGGTAGGGTTTGCTGTACATGGAGAGCTCAGGGGAAAGCATGTACCCTACATAGGTGGCAAAGCCCAAAGAACTCACGTTCAGCAATTAATATTGTGGCCTCCCACACTCGTGTTCATAACTAACATTTCAATATGTTTCCAATTATTCCTCTGTGATCTTTTCATTACAAATGGCAAAGCCTTAAGCTAACATTTTTTTGCAAAATAAAAAAGGCCTAATCATTTTCAAAACGAAAGTAAAAACAGCTGCGAGGGTTTAATTAGGACCGTGACCTTATTCCAGAGACTTTATGTTTACATGCGCATATTTGTGTGTTTCTGCGGGCACTTAACCCAGATCTGTGTCAGATGTGTGCGCAAATATCAGACGAGTCTCCGCATGTAACCACAGTTTGCACTCACTGGATCAGTGCTCGCTTATTTGCTGAAATGAATGTTAAATTTATAGCAAATATAATTCAAATAAAAACTACAGGACTTGCCATAAACATTCAACAAAACACTCACAGCATGGGCCACCGTACAAACCATATGAAGTCAAGACAGACAAAAGAGAAAGTCGTATAATACGCGGAACAAGTCATTGCATTTCAAAAGGTTTTGAACATGTTTTTCTCTTTGGAAGTATGGACTAACTCATTGCGTACAATAAAAACCTACAACAACTAGTGTGAGTTTTGTAGTGCTGTCAAACAATTAATCACGATTAATCGCTTACAAAATAAAAGTTTTCATTTGCATAATGTATGTGTGTGTTCTGTGTATATTTATTATGTGTGTATATATATATATATATATATATATACACACACACACACACACACACACATACAGTATATATTTTGAAAATATTATATTCATATAATTTATATTATAAATAAATATATTTAATATATAAACATAACATATTTTTCTGAAATATATACATGCATGTGTGAGCATTTATATTTACATAATAAATATACACAGCACACATACATATATTATGTGAACAAAAACTTTTATTTTGGATGCGATTAATCGCGATTAATCGTTTGACAGCACTAGAGTTTTGATTTCATAATGACATAGTAAGAATTTAAAATGATGCACTGCACAATACAAAGGATACAATATCCGGTTATTATTTGTAAAAGAATATATCAAGTATGAAAAGCATGCAGACTCTGAGTGGCAGAAATCTCTAGCACAGAAAATCAAACCGATTACAAAGCACCGTGATTAAGGCTGAGGGAAAACATTGCTAAAAGTGCCTGACCTTTGTACGGCGAAAGCTTGCCTTCCTCTTTGGCTTTGCCTGCCAACTCCAGGAAATCTTCAATGAGGTCCAGAGAAATGAGAGACTGGCTGAACACCAACCTGAGCACACAGGACACGTGACCGTCACACACATGACCGAATGACATGGAAGACAACGAATTCGGAGATGCTACTCTGACAAAACTTAACTCACACTTTTTCTTCCAATTCTTCAGCCATGCGGAGAATCTCAAAAAGAAGCACCATTTTCCCAGAATGCTCCAGCACCTCAGAATCTGGCTCGGTCACAAACTCTTTGTACCAGTCAGGTGATGGGCTGCCAGGACCCGAGTTCGACGGCCGAACTGAGGAAAACATCACAGATACACACCGTTGGGGCCATATTTGCAGAAGACGTGCAATGCATCCGTAGTTTTCAACAAAAAAAGTTGTTTTATTGCATCTAGTGTCAGGTCCAAAATCTACCAACATCATTCTAATGAATAATTTTTTAAAAATGTAATCATTTTTTTTTTAAACGTGAAATATTAAATCGTGTATTATTAGTGTATTAGTACATTGTAAATAGTGTGTAAAGTAAGTGTTAATTTATAGAATTTTGCATGTGTGTGAACCGTTATAAAACTAACTGTAAAAAATATAATCTTGGTCATAAGTATCGGTCAATGAAAGGATTTTTTTTTTTTTCTGTTGAAAGGACAGTCCACACAACAATGTCATCCTTTACTCAACCTCAGATATTCTTTCTTGTGCTGAAAACAAAAAAAGATATTTTGAAGAATGTTGGTAACCAAACGGTTGCTGGTCCCCACGGACTTCCACAGTATAGAAAAATATTATAGAAGTCAATGGCTACTGTCAACTAGTGATCGACCGATATATCGGCCGATATCTGGCACTTTTCAAATATCGGCATCGGCCGATAAGCTTTCCTGTTTGGCCGACGCTTTCGATGCTCACATTCTCCATCTTGTTCGCTGTCGTCGTTAACAGTTCTGTCTAATACTGATAGAAGTCTGTCTAATAATCCGATAGAACGGTTAAACAAAGGAATTAAAATGTAAACAAAAAGTATTATAACAAATGCTTTTATATTATTAGTAATATAAAGGCAAACATTATAATACTTTCTCGTTTGCCGTCAGCATTCAGCAAATATGCATTTATATCATTTAAACCAATCTTTGAATGACTAATAAACATCTAATTTCATAAACCTTGCAAACTTAGTCAAATCCAGCTGTGCGATCTTGTGAAGTGTGCTTTTGATTTCAAACTCTGCTGCGCTTTATGCATTTGCCCACTGTCATATTCATGTCATTTTCACTGTGTGCTGTACGTAAAATGAGTGTTACCTTGGCTTTATTTGAAAAAAATATGATTCCCAATGCACACAAACTTCCCAGAATACTGAGTGCCCTGTTGGTTACAGTGTTTACTTTTTTTAATTATATTTTTATTTATTTGTGAAAAATACTTTGTCATCTGAAGTAGAAGTATGTTTAGGAGTTATTTATTTTTTAACCCATTTTCAAACGATTTCAAATTTCTTACATATTAATTAAAATAAATACAATTATATCGGCTTTATATCGGCCACCCTGCTTTTCGAGATATCTGCAAAAACCCATTATCGTTTGGTTACCAACATTCTTTAAAATATCTTCTTTCACACAGATTTGGAACAACTTGAGGGTGAGTCAATGTCAGAATATTAATTTTCAGGTGAACTATCCCTTTAACCATTATTAGTAACAACAGCACTGCTTAACTCCTATCTGAAGAGATGATTTTGTCAGTAAGCTCAGTCATACCCTCTTCCACAGGCTCTGCTCTGTTGCGCCCCTCGGGGTTTCCTCCACGAGAGCTGGTGTTCCACTCCTTAATCACTTCCAGGTCATCGCTGTCGGACTTGTCTGAGCTCTGCTCTTTCCCTTTGCCTCGCTTCTTCTTTCTGTACGGGGGTTTAGAGAACCAGATCAGTCATTACACAGCCAGCAAACAGGACAGTTACCAAGGAAGAGTTGAGACTCGTCTCAAACCTTTTGGGCTTCTCATCTTCAGAGGTCAAACTCATGGAGGACTCCTCTGTCTCTGAGGCTATGAACTCCTCCATACTGTCCTCGTCGAAGTATCCCTGTTAGTGTGAAGAGAAAAAAACAACAGTTAAGGTGCTGCTATTCTAATCAGCAGAGTTACGGCAATTGTTCAACCAAAAATGAAAATCCTGTCATCATTTAATCAACCTTACCTCATTCCAAACCTGTATGACTTTGGTTCATCGTCAAAACACAAGTTCAGATATTTTGGCAACACTTTAGATTAGGGAACAGGTATTCACTAATAACTATGACTTTTGCCTTCCAATTTTAAACTTCCAATTAGCTGTTTATTAATAGTTAGTAAGGTAGTTGTTAGGTTTAGGTATGGGGTGGATTAAAGGATCTAGAATATGGTCATGCGAAATAAGGCATTAATATGTGTGTTATATGCACTAATAAACAGCCAATATGCTAGTACTATACATTCTAATAAGCAACTAGTTAATAGTGAGAATAGGTCTAAACTCAAGTGTTACCGATATTTTTTATGAAACCGCCACTGAAAGTCTAAGTAAACAAAATCTAGAACATCCAAAAGTGTCAAAAAAGCGTATAAATCCGTATAAATTGAGCAGTTTAATGCAAGTCTCGCGAATAGCTCAATATGATAAACAGATTAATTTAGGCTTTTAAACACAAAAAAAACGCCTCGGGCTCGTTTTTGTGGTTTGACACGCCGCGTTAAAAACGGGCCGACCAATGAGATTGGCACTTTTGTTCACGTGCCTGGAGCTGCTGAAGTTACAGTAAAACACGACTTGGTGGCGCTCAAGCACAAAACGGTCTTGCCGAGCACACATTGATACCTAACGACGAAGAGGAAGTAAGTAGACCAAGAAGATGCATCGAGGCGAGATGAATGTAGAGCTGCTGGTCTCATTGGTGTCTGAACACAAAGGGCTTTATGACAAACGCGACAGCGACTACAAAAATCTCGATAAGAGGGAGTTGTTATGGAGAGGAATTGCAGATCAAATAGGATTCGATGTGTAGGTATTTCTGTTTTTCATTAAGCGCCATCTAATGTCAGGGAGTGAATTTGCACGTTCACTCGGCTCATCGCCAGCGAAAATTGCAATTTAATTTTTTTAGTGACGTGACGTGGCCAAGTATGGCGTCCCATACTTGGAATTAGTGCTCTGCATTTAACCCATCCTAAGTGCACACACACAGCGTGTACAAGTCCGACTCTCTAACCATTAGGCCACGACTTCCCCCATCCAAAACAAAAAACGCTTGGGTATGAACACAAAAGACGCGTCGAAAAACACAGGCGATAAGCGCGCACAATAATCGTCCCAGTGTGTACGAGGCTTAACAATTCAGAACAAAAATCCGCTGTTTGAAAATACATGTCTATTAAAAAAAACCATTAAATTGTGTTAAATTGCAAATGTTAAATATTCAAGTAAAAACAAATCTAATTCAGAACTATGTTAAATGCCACATAAAATTCAGTTTTGTTAAATGACACTAGTCATTCATTCAAATAGTTTTGTCATATTATAAGCTCCATAAGCGTGCCAGAGCACAGCGCACCGCAGCGGCCTAAATCCTGAATTCAGATTAGCCAGAGGATTAACTGAGCAGGTAAACAAGCTCTTAGCACTGTGAGAGGCTCACGCTGCCTGTTTTCACACTGATGCTTAGAAAAGCAAAGCAACAAAATCCTCCACTCAAAAACCACAACAACAAAAAAACATGCATTTGCAAGAAAGGCTTTGCTACAAACATCTTGAAACTGCTGCGTGTCATTTTTGCAGTACACCAAGCAGATTTGCAAAACAAATGACTGGCTATGTTTAAAAAGAAACTCTAGGATACTGAATATTGCACAGGTCCTGAAGAGATGGTATCTGAGCAACAGTGATAATCCATCATGAAAGCGATGATTGCGTGACTTAAAAATAAATCTAATAATTCTGATCAGTTATGGAGGCATTTTGTGTTATCTTGAGGTCTGATTGGTTACCATTAGAACGTTATGCCACCCAGACTAGAGGACTGACGCTATGGCGTTGTAGTAATGACTGGAATCACTTTGAAAATGAAAACACAGTGGAAGATATGCAATGCCAATCTGTCATAACATTATATTGAGAATGCTACTGTAATACAATGTTGTAAATGTGTTGTGCTTTAGCTGACTGTTTAAAGTCCCTAGAAATCAAACGTTTTTTGCGGCTCGTATGATTACGCTAGTCTTGACTTTATCTACAAGCTAGTGTTTCAAAACAATGATAAAATGTGCATTTATATGAATTCAAAACGTACAGCCTCTCTACCACCAATGTGGATCAACGATTTGTACGTCAGCTTCTCATTAGTTCTTCTGTTCAATCAAATGCTCTTTATTCACCCCCTGGAGCCGTGTGAGGCACGTTTTACTATGGATGTATGCGCTTAATTTCACTTCTTTTGGACTGATGCACTGTAACACCCGCTGAGTGCCATTCGAAAGCTTGGAAGATCAAAGACATTTTTTTATATAACTCTGATTGGATTCATTGAAGCCATATACACCTAGGGTGAGTAAATCATGGGCTAATTTTCATTTTTGGGTGAACTAACCCTTTAAGTTTAGTTAAGCCGCTAGCAAAGCACTTCAGTTTACTGTTGCTCATTCACGCTTCTGATTCAGCTCAATCAGTCACACCACGCTTTCCATTCATCTAAATGTGTGAGACAGGAAATGCAAGCTCATATGAATGTTGCTGCTTTCCAAAGTTCTAAAATTCAATTCGGCTCTGACCTGTGAATTTATGAAGTCATGTGAAGACTTGTGATTGTGTGACCTCTTAAATTAAAAGAATGCAAACTTTAAATCTGCAGGATTGCAGTAAAGTGGAGTTAGAATGCATATTTTTGGATGCATTACATGCTGCACATCAACAAAGTCTAGGTGATCGCAGCAATGCACAACATTAGTGACTAATATTGTCACATTTGAAGAAACCATATCCCTTTAAAAAGTTTATTTTTCAAAACTATCAGTGATGTGTTATTTATAAATCTAGTCGTTTTATTTTTTCCTCTTCATATTTACACATCCTAATACCAGGTATAAACAGGGACAGAGAACGGTCATCGCTGCATACAAAGCTGGGATAGTATTTGAATAAAAAAAAGAGTCACAGCAGCTTTAACACCGTCTAAAATGCCGAATGCGAGTTCACCTCAATGCAGCATGAAATTGGATCAGGGTTTGGGTAAAGCAGGCCACCAGGACAAAAGTGCAATCATTAAGGCAAAGACAGCGTCTGGTGGTGGTCTCTGGGGGTATGCACCTACACCGTTTTATTTTTTCCTCTTCATATTTACACATCCTAATACCAGGTATAAACAGGGACAGAGAACGGTCATCGCTGCATACAAAGCTGGGATAGTATTTGAATAAAAAAAAAGAGTCACAGCAGCTTTAACACCGTCTAAAATGCCGAATGCGAGTTCACCTCAATGCAGCATGAAATTGGATCAGGGTTTGGGTAAAGCAGGCCACCAGGACAAAAGTGCAATCATTAAGGCAAAGACAGCGTCTGGTGGTGGTCTCTGGGGGTATGCACCTACAGTCACAACAGCAGCGCAGTAGCATAGCAGCGGGCTCAGAGGAAAGCCGGCCTAATGAGCCTCTAGCTGGGAACTTCTCCTAAAGCTCTTCATTAGATAAGGACGTGGGAATTGGTTCAGATCGCCCCGCGGCCTGGTGCCAGCTGCCATTCTTCCTCTCCCAGCTGCGGAGCTGCTTCAGAACAATCGCGGCCTGAGCTATAACACCGCTAAACCACTTAATTGAAAAAATGAGAGCAGGGGGGAAAGACTGGTTTCACCTCAGGAGACTCAAATCTCCAAACTCCTATTTCAGGGTTTAAGCTGAGAGACTGCATGATCTGAATCGCATATTTGACCATTAAAACTCAACATGACAAAGCATTTGACTCAATATTCAGTTTCACTCAGGAATATTTTACATCAAGCAGAAAATAGATGGATTTTAATCATCAAAACTATTTTTTTTTTTTTACTGTTCACAAGGCCTTATGTCTATTTGCCCTGTTAAATCCAGAGACATACAGTGGTGGCCAAAATTATTAGAACGCTAGTATTTTCACCAGCTAAAAAAATGGTTTTAAGTCAGTTATTTCTATCTTTTGCTGTAGTGTGTCAGTAGGAAATATCAGTTTACATTTCCAAAGCATTCATTTAATTGCCATTAATTGTAATAATGCAGTGAGATGTTTGTGCTGCACACAGAGATCTGATCATCATCAGTCTGTCTGGCGTGACATGAAGAAACAGAACAAACCGAGACAGACTCAGTCCAGAAGAACTGTGTCTCAAAGACGCTTCAAGAAAGCTACCTGCAAAGCTCCCTGAAAAACTATGCGCACTTTTAACAGTACTGTAGCTTTGCAGGTAGGTTTCTTGAAGCATCTTGGAGATATTGGCAAAAATATCATATCACAGTTTTTTTTTTAAAAATAAATATCTCGATTTTATCACGATTCTGTGTCATGTTGGATTTTCTATTTTGCAAGTTGTCTGAGCATTACAGCCAAACTAATTTCCCTATTATAAAGACAAAGAAATAAAAAAAATATTAAAAAAGAATGGCGGATATTTAGGCCAAAGTGGGCGAAGATAAAAATCTTTGTCATTATTTTATCTTTGTTATTAAAAAATAAGAACAAAGATACACATTACAAATACACATAATATACAAATAAAACAAACAGTGTTTTATTTTCAAGTACGATAGGTGTATTTAGCAGGAGCATTCAAGAAATTGAATGAACAAATATAAAATAAAACACTTTTGATTCCTATTAAAGCAACGGTCTTAAAGTTTTTCAGTCAAGAGTAGCGAGTTATTTTTCTCTTTGTGTTTTCTTGTTTTATTAACATTAAAGGAATAGTTCACCCAAAAATAAAGTGTTTTATTTTTATACCATCATTCACTCACTCAAAAGTTGTTTTAAACCTGAATGAGCTTCTTTCTTCTGTTGAACATAAACGCTATTTTGAAGAACATGGAATAGCCCATAGTATTTTTTTCAAGTCAATGTGGACAAGCAAATGTTTGGTTACCCACATTCTTCAAAATATCTTCTTTTGTGTTCAGCACAAGAAAGAAATTAATACAGGGTTGGGACAACATGTGAGTGAGTAAATAATGACAGAAATAAATTTTTATGGTGAACTATCCCTTTAATGACAGTCGGCAGCATGTTTAGTACTGTCCCTTTAAGAGCTGCATGCATCTAATATACAGACACGCGTCCGTTTCTCTCAACTGTTTACTTTTATTTTAGGCATAACCAAGTCTATATGTAAGCCTTGTGTGTTTTAACAGTATTAGCGCAAAAGATAACTTAGTCCAGTAACTTAATCAGGTGCTGTTTGACAGGGTTTTTAGTGCGCGCGCTTCGGGTGCATGCGCTCAGAAAAAGTGCACATCAGAAGAGCGCGTGAATGAAATGTTTAACCGGCAAGGCTTTAAAGCACATGCAAATAATGTACTTTTGTGATTGTGACTAAACGCAGTGTCCCGTGAGAGCAACTTGACCGCTGAGTTAACACTGATGTGAATGTATGTGGCGCTGTAGCACGATACTGCGATATTTCTTCAAAAGCAGATCGTGGAGACATTTTTATCGACCACGACCTACTTGGAGACGTTGCCACAGTTCTTCTGTACTGAGTCTGTCTCGGTTTGTTCTGTTTCTTCATGTCACTCCAGACAGACTGATGATGATCAGATCTCTCTGTTCTCAGACGAATATTTCACTGGATTATTACAATTAATGGCAAAATGAATGCTTGGAAATGTAAACTGATATTTCCTACTGACACACTACAGCAAAAGATAGAAATAACTGACTTAAAACCATTTTTAGCAGCTGAGAATACTAGTGTTCTAATCATTTTGGCCACCGCTGTATATTATGAAAATAATTAGGAAAAAATGTGATCTTTAACAGAGCAAATGCGAAATTAACTGAAGTGAATATAATGCAGAGTCGTACCTGTGAAGTGATCCAGGTAGTATCGGTAAAGCTTGCACTGAATGGGTGTTAACCGTATCGCTAACACATACTCGTGTTTTGGCGGCAGGAATTTTGTAAGGGCAGTATAGTCTCTTCTCTGTGGAAGACAAGATTTTTACAAGTCTGTTCATTATGAACTAGCACTGAATACACTGGCTGTGGTCTTCTGGCTTACTTGGACGCATCCTGCCAGCATCTCGTAGAGGATGTGTGCGCGCTTCTTCATGACTCGGACATCAGTCAGCGTGGAGTCGGCGCACTGGCCGTTCTGGATGGGGTTGATGAAGCGGTTTCTGAACTCCTTCACTGACCCCAGCAGGTTCTCCTTGATGAAGTTCACCATACAGTGATCTGAGGGGAGAAAATGGCACTTTCACTCCCGGAAATGATTCTGGTCATAATTCAAGGGTTTAAAGATGTCTTTCCACATTCAGAATGACGTGGCATAACCCTTAACTGGCCATAGTCTACTTGAAGTAGGGCTGCTCGATTACGGCAAAAATCATAATCACGATTATTTTGGCCAATATTGTAATCACGATTATTTAACACGATTATGAGGGGGCCATTTGACCAAAACTTTATATGAATGATTTAAAGATAGTGATACATATCAAATACATATTTCCTGTAAATAAGGTTGCAATGACAGCGGAATTTCAAAACAAAAAGTCCTCAAAATTATTGAAAATAATTAAACTGTCAGTAATAAAAAAAAAAACATTATTCTATTGTAACAAATACAATAGAATAAAAAGATACAAATGAAACAAACTGTGCTTTAAAATGTTTTTTTTATGCAAGTCTACAGCCTACTACAGAAATTAATAATCAAATGTAAAATAAAACTGCATAGTCTTCACTGTAAGAATTAAACTTTTTTGTTTCTTATTAAAGCTACAAAAGTCCTTCACTCAGGAGCGGTGTGTGATTTTGAATTTGTCTTTTGTTGTTTGATTAATATTAAGCACACAGTCGCAGCAGGAAAATAGCCGTCTGTCACTTTAAGAGCCGCACGGATCCTATTTACCATTACACGCGTATTTTCATTCTCAACTCTTTATGCTCATTTATTACATGACCAACAAAGGTATACATGAATAATCACTAAGCGCCGCATTTTGACACACTTTTGCGTGTATTTGACCGTTTAGGTGCTAAAAGATGACTTTACATGTCCGTGTTCTGCTCCGTCTCGGAGCGCATATATCTTCCTGAGGAGCAGCGCAAGTTCTCTTCCACGTTTTAAAAACATGAATACATATTCTTATAGAAATCAAGCACGTCCCATTTTGCAAAAGTCACGTTACATGATTTTACTGATTTGCTCGTGAGATTGGGCTTGTATGGAGGAATGAAAGCACAGCGCTGGAAAAGGGGGTGGAATGGGGGCGTAATAATCGTTTTATCTCGATTGTTTGTATTTTCATAATCGTTGGAGGCCAACATCGATATCGAAATTGTTTTTCGATTAATTGCACAGCCCTAACTTGAAGCATCTGATTGAAATCTGACTGATTCTGGAAATCAAGCAGCACTGAATGCTTCGAGCCAGTTGGAGGTTCTGTCTATAAGCTATTAATGTTTTCTTTTCTAAAGCAATAATGTAGTATTTAGTAGTGCTGTCAAACGATTAATCGCATCCAAAATAAACGTTTTTGTTCACATAATATATGTGTGTGTACTGTGTATATTTATTATGTATATATAAATACATACACATGCATGTATATATTTAAGAAAAATATGTAATGTTTATATATTAAATATATTTATATGAATATAAAAATATACATTTAAATATTTTCAAAATATATACTGTATGTGTATGCTTTTATATAAACATAATAAATATACACAGTATACAAACATATATGTGACCCTTGACCACAAATCCAGTCATAAGGGTACATTTCTCATTTATACATCATCTGAAAGCTGAGTAAATGAGCTTTGACCACTGACATATGGTTTGTTAGGATCGGACAATATTTGGACGAGATGCAACTATGTGAAAATCTGGAATCTGAGGGTGCAAAAAAAAATCTAAATATTGCGATAAAGGTCACCTTTAAATTTGTCCAAATGGGTCATGTAACAGACTGCAAAGGTATTGGTTTTTGGTGCTGGGGGAAATGGAAAAGATCTTTAATACGCAGTTGGATTTTGACCCAGTCTCACTGGTATTGGGTATACCTAATAAATGCATTGTTTCAATACATACACATGCATGTATATATTTAAGAAAAATATGTAATGTTTATATATTAAATATATTTATATGAATATAAAAATATACATTTAAATATTTTCAAAATATATACTGTATGTGTATGCTTTTATATAAACATAATAAATATACACAGTATACAAACATATATGTGACCCTTGACCACAAATCCAGTCATAAGGGTACATTTCTCATTTATACATCATCTGAAAGCTGAGTAAATGAGCTTTGACCACTGACATATGGTTTGTTAGGATCGGACAATATTTGGACGAGATGCAACTATGTGAAAATCTGGAATCTGAGGGTGCAAAAAAAAATCTAAATATTGCGATAAAGGTCACCTTTAAATTTGTCCAAATGGGTCATGTAACAGACTGCAAAGGTATTGGTTTTTGGTGCTGGGGGAAATGGAAAAGATCTTTAATACGCAGTTGGATTTTGACCCAGTCTCACTGGTATTGGGTATACCTAATAAATGCATTGTTTCATTTGCTAACAAGAAATTGATTAATATTCTCTCCTTTGCTGCCAGAAAAAATATTTTACTTAATTGGATTAGTGATAAATCTCCATCACTTAAAGGTTGGCGTAAGATAATTTTTGAACTGATTCCCTTGGAGCGTCTTACCTATGTGTTACATAAAAAAAACCAGGCCTGTTTTATAAAGTCTGGACTCAATATCTGGACTATATGTAGGGATGGAACGATTACCGGTTTCACGATAAAATGCCCTGACGGTTAGTATTACCGTTTAAAATTTAATTATCATCAAAACCGTGTTTGATTATCACGCTTTTGAAAACTTGCGGTAAATCCTGTCCAGCCAGCATGAGTCTGACGCAGAAGCAGCGTGCAGTGTTGTTGTTGTTTTTTGCACGAGACGAAATGTCGGAAGGCAGTGACAGCGCTCCGGTGATTTTTCAGCATCTAAGAGGACCAAATCGGTGGTCTGGTCGTATTTTGGCTTTTACAAGAGTCCTGAAGGCAATTTAATCGAGGACGGTCACCCTGTCTGCTGATCTTGCAAGAAGAAAGTAGCAGCAAAAGGGGGAAACGCATCAAATTAGCTCCGTCATCTTCGTGACCACCACCCACTGTTATATAGCGAATGCAAGGTAACGTTTACCTCAATCCCAAAACTAACTGGGCAAATAATTGGACAAAAAATATCGATTAGAGATTAAATATTTCGTTATCTCACTTATTTAACGCAAAGCTTCCGCGAAGAAAAGTTTGCAGCAAGTGGCTTTGAGTCAAGACGAACGAACGTGCAAACTATCAGGTTGACATTTAAGGGATAATGTATTGTATATTCATAGTTAACTTATTACACTGATTTTTTTTGTTTACCTATAATAATATATAAATACGGGGATATGAAATATTGAATTGAGATGAATGTTTTGAAATCTTTCTCGTTTATAAATCCATTATGAAGAGTGTACAAAACAATCGTCAGGACAATCTGATCACTACAGCAACATTATAGCAGTATTAATACTAAATTCCTCTGATTTCATTTTCAATCAAAAACTGAGACGCAAGCTGCATTTGAATGAAACGAGAGAGCATAGATACAAGAGACATGCGGCGACTTCCACACAGAAGTGAGCATCCCTATTACTGTGTTCTATGAAGGGTGCAGGGCATTACTGTCTCGTATAAGCGCTTGAAACTCCCTCGGCGAAGGGAACGACTGACCAGATGTTACCTTGACAACGCTGCGCGTGCATGCAGCATTCAGTACTCCATCAGTTGTTGCAAATAAATATGTATTATTTTATTCAAATATTGTCTAATTGTGTCTTTATCAGGTTGACATTTAAGGGATAATGTATTGTATATTCATAGTTAACTTATTACACTGATTTTTTTTGTTTACCTATAATAATATATAAATACGGGGATATGAAATATTGAATTGAGATGAATGTTTTGAAATCTTTCTCGTTTATAAATCCATTATGAAGAGTGTACAAAACAATCGTCAGGACAATCTGATCACTACAGCAACATTATAGCAGTATTAATACTAAATTCCTCTGATTTCATTTTCAATCAAAAACTGAGACGCAAGCTGCATTTGAATGAAACGAGAGAGCATAGATACAAGAGACATGCGGCGACTTCCACACAGAAGTGAGCATCCCTATTACTGTGTTCTATGAAGGGTGCAGGGCATTACTGTCTCGTATAAGCGCTTGAAACTCCCTCGGCGAAGGGAACGACTGACCAGATGTTACCTTGACAACGCTGCGCGTGCATGCAGCATTCAGTACTCCATCAGTTGTTGCAAATAAATATTTATTATTATTTTATTCAAATATTGTCTAATTGTGTCTTATTTACTATTAAACGTTTTCAAACTAAACTTGCTTACACTACCGTCTTAAATCATATTTCTATCACTGACGAAAAATATGTTGTCTTACATTAAAATAGACAAATGTAATTAGCCTGTTCTATTTATGTTTGTATGTGAACTCGAAATCAACCCCAACTTTGCTTTAAAAAGCATCACAAGATCTCCTAACCGAAGATCACATGATCACAAACAGAAATCACATTGTGTGTGTGTGTGTGTATATATATACATATATATGTGATTTATTATTATTATTAGGGCTTCATGTTAATTTAATGTTTATGCTAAAAAAAGTGCATATAGCTGCTAATTGTATTAGTTGTTTGTTGATTTTCAAATATAAAACTTATTGAAATGTTTTCAGTGTGTGTATCAGTTCTTTTTGAACGTTTTCATCTAATTTGAACAAAACGTGATAATATTGATAATCGTGATAACTTTGGTCACTATAATCGTGATATGAACTTTTCATACTGTTACATCCCTAGCTATATGGAACCTCATCTTCGCCCTATTATACTACAAGGAATTCTGTAATTGTGTAACTGTCTGGACATTTAACTTTTCTGCCCTATTCATTTGTCCCCTTCTCTAATCTGTTATATATGGGGTAGTCCTGTTTTAATTAATAATCTGAGCTATGTGTGTTTTTTTTTTTTTTTGGTTTGTTTCTTTTGGGGCGATGCCTTGTTATTTTTGTATTTCAGTGAACATTCTATAAAAATAATTAAAAAAATAATACTAATAATTGTCCAATTTTTTGTATGTAGCAATGCATATTACTAATCAAAAATTAAGTTTTGATATATTTACGGTAGGAAATTTACAAAATATCTTCATGGAACATGATCTTTACTTAATATCCTAATGATTTTTGGCGTAAGAGAAAAATCTATAATTTTGACCCATACAATATATTGTTGGCTATTGCTACAAATATCCCCCAGAGACTTAACACTGCTTTTGTGCTCCAGGGTCACATATTATGTAAACAAAAACTTTTATTTTGGATGCGATTAATCGTTTGACAGCACTAGTGTTTAGTAACTAATACTCTACCAATATGTTAGCTGATATTTGGGAATTTTAAGATTATGGCATTGGCTGATAACCACATCCAATAGGTTTTTTTTATTTTTATTGCCTACTGAACTCTCAAGTTGCCGGCCACTAAAGAAATAAATACACAAATAAATAAAAACCATATTGGTCAACCCCCAGCACTCATGTGACTCACACTCGATCAGGTTGTTCTGCAGTGGGGTTCCTGTCAGCACCACTCGCCGACGAGTCGTGATGGAGTTCATGGCTTTGGAGACAGCAGACGCTTCGTTCTTCAGCACGTGACCCTCGTCACAGATGACAAAATCCGGACCTGTACATCAAAACACATTCGGTTCATGACCATCATCTGAATGTGAGCAGTGCTCTCACAGATTCTGATCGACACACACACACAACAGGTTTCCTTCATGCAGAGCATTTTCTAGTAAATTAAACTTTTGTATATTCACCAAGAAATCTGACATGGACTGGAAAACACAATCTTTTTACCAGCTGATATTTCCACGTTTTTCATAATCACGTGAGCGGAAGCGCTTTGCTAACGCAGTAACTTCACCTGGATCAACCAGAGTTTTCTGAAAGGTTTCCTTCAGCTTCTTGCTCTTGATGTTTCGTCCTTGCGTGAGGTTGCGGTACATCTCGTAGCCTATGATCATGACGCCGCCATCCTCCTGCCAGCGCTGTAAAGCGTACGCTCTCTCCTGAGGCCGCTTGACTGTGGCCAGCTCGGTCACCTGAAACACAAGCCAAAACACACCGACATACAGCGAGACTAATGTCAACAACTGAAAAGGAATGTGCTTCCTGTGAAACAGTGGCTCTCAGCTCTTTTTTACATTCGACAAATATGTGACCCGAGCACAAAAGCAGTCTTAAGTCGCTGGGGGATATTTGTAGCAATAGCCAACAATACATTGTATGGGTCACAATTATACATTTCTCTTTTATGCCAAAAATCATTAGGATATTAAGTAAAGATCATGTCCCATGAAGATATTTTGTACATTTCCTACCGTAAATATATCAAAACTTAATTTTTGATTAGTAATATGCATTGCTAAGAACTTCATTTGGACAACTTTAAAGGCGACTTTATCTCAATATTTAGATTTTTTTTGCACCCTCAGATTCCAGATTTCCACATAGTTGCATCTCGGCCAAATATTGTCCTTATTTATTCAGCTTTCAGATGTTGTATAAATCTCAATTTTGAAAAATTGACACTTAAGACACACATGTATTAAGAGTAAAAGTGCTACGTTTAATTTATAATTAAATTAGGAATGTGCACACGATGCACTAATGAATGATAATGCCACAGTATGCAAGTATGACACATTTACCTTCTCTGAAGTACACATATTACGTGCAATAATGGTCACTTCAAAATAAATGTGTCTTTATTTGTAATATTCATGATGCAATTCAAATGCACCCTTGTGAATAATAAACGACGGTAATGAGTAATGGGAAGATCTACGTGTTCCAATACCAAAACTCTACCTCTAAACTCTCCTCGTCCTTCAGGCCTTCTTGCCACTTCTCAAACTCATTGAGCCAGTTGAGCACAGTGTTGAGAGGACACACCACCAGAGCTGTGCTGAAGTTCATCTTCTCACACAGCAGCAAAGTGTGGAGAAACGTCACCACCTGCAGGACGACAAGAGAACAGGAGAGTCAAACACTATCCATCTATACAGAATTATTATCGTTTATTTTACAGTTACCTGGAGAGTTTTTCCCAGCCCCATGCAGTGGGCCAGAATACAGCCGGAGCCAGAAGACTTCTCCACCTTCTTCATCGACTCACAGCAGCAGTCCCACATGAACTGCACACCTGCAAACAGAAAAAACACACAAAACTATCATTAGTGTTTCCATGTGTCCTCCATTTATAAAAGGACATAGCTATGATGACCAGTATATATGCATGCATATATTTTGCACCAGTACATTCTCATGCAAATAAACGCATGAAAAATGAGAAAGACATTTTGATGCTTTCTGTTTTTGGCTCATGTAGCCTTAAGCCCTATTCGGACAGGACTAGTTTGCTAAACTACATTTGAGTTCCGATTCTTATCCCTCGACGCCTGTGATTTTCATGAACCAATTTGGACGGGACTAACATCTCCGTGTTTATATTACAGAGGCGGTTTGTATTGTTTATATTGTTTCGTACATCTGGGCGTTGCAGAGATCACATGCTCTGTGTGCGTGCGTTGCGTAAAGTCATTTGGAATGATTACCATAGTATAACCAGTTTTACTACAAATACCATGGTGAAGCTATATGGCTAGTATAACAACACCATGGTTAATGTGTGCTTACTTTAGTTTTGTAAAGGGTTTATTATTTAAATAATATATTTATTTGTAGTAAAACCATGTTTAATTTTCGTTAAGGTGCATATGTATTTAAAACATTATGTAATTGAGTGCAGAAATGAACACGAGTAATCTTACCGGACGCTGATATTACAGTAGCCAGATCAGTTTATGTGATCTTGATTTTATTATTATTATTTCTTTGCCAGGAGGCAAACATATTAAAAAAATGCGTGCGGTAAGAGTGTACATGGTAGTTCACGTTGGCCAAAACACACAAGGAAAAATATTGCCGGCAATCACAGACACTCGCATTCAGATTGGATTAGTTTTCTCAGAGGATCACGGAGCTTGCCGAGAAAAAAACAAAAAAAAAAACAGACGTGGCAGATTCGGATCTGAACAAAAAAAATTGTCTCCAATGACCCCCCCTGTAAAACTAGTCCCGTCCGAATAGAGCTTTAGTTACATCTGCAAGCAAAGCAGTTTTAAAGGTTGTTTTTTATGAAAGATTATAAAAACAAAATATAAATGATAGACCCTGAATATTTAAGTAGAAAGAAATGGGGCCAATTTAGATTTTTCGATGATGACTTGAAACATCGATTTACTTCAGGCAACCCTTTTCAGGGACATGCAATCAGCCAGAAACACTAAACTGCTCTATCCAAAGCATTAAATACAAAAATAAATGTCATGCATGATTGTTTTTCTGGTGCTGGAAAAAAAGCAAGCCATAACGAGCGGTGACCGCAGACTCACCATCCACCTGATGGGGTTTGAGTTTGGTCACCAGGTTCCTGTGAACCTGCACTAGAGGTTCCTTGGTCTCCTCGTCCTCATCCAGCACCAGCTTTGTGGTGATGGGACACGTGACCTGCGATGACTCCTCCACCACAATAGTCTGAAACCAAAGAGTGCCAGCTTTGAGTTTCCCTACAAAATGACAAGCAGAACAGTTTCGCTACGCTGAGCCCTAAACATCTGCATCTTGTGTCTGTACCTCTCGCAGTTTTTCCCTCAACCGCTCCCTCTCAGCAATGCGCTTCCTCCTGTCCTCTTCCTCCTTCAGCGCATCCCGGGTCTCTGTCCGCAGTTTGTCATCTTTAAGGATCTTGCGGATCTTCTTACGATTTTTGGGCGTTCCTTTCTCATCTTCTTCACCTTCTCCATCCTCTTCCCCTCCACTCTGCGGAAACACTTCACGTGAGGCATCACTGGTTTATGTATTTATTGTGCTGAAATAGATCCGTACTGCACAGTACCTTGCCACTGGACGAGGAGTCTTGAACCTTAATGCGACGTCGCTTCTTCTTCTCTTTCTTGTAACTTCTCCCACGGTCCTTGGCAGCTTTATTGGACGACCTGCAAGTGTTACCACAACTTCTTTCATAAGTTTTGTGTCCCCATTGAGGAGTAATTCGCTCATTGTAAAAATGCATTAATAAACCATGACCATTAATAATTAGGGCTGGGTTTTGATACAAATTTCACGATTCGATTCTCATTCAACCAGCTTGCGATTCAATTTGATTACTCGATCAATGTCGATTATTTTGGATATATATATATATATATATGCCAGATCAGTTTACGTGATCTTGATTTTATTATTATTATTTCTTTGCCAGGAGGCAAACATATTAAAAAGATGCGTGCGGTAAGAGTGTACATGATAGTTCACGTTGGCCAAAACACACAAGGAAAAATATTGCCGGCAATCACAGACACTCGCATTCAGATTGGATTAGTTTTCTCAGAGGATCACGGAGCTTGCCGAGAAAAAAACAAAAAAAAAAACAGACGTCACAGGAAAAAAAATCTTTCAACTATTGCTGTACATGAGAGTCAGTTGGTACTACATTACTATAATATTGAAGGTTCAAATTAACTGATTTGTAGGCTTCACAACTGCTTAAATTACACTTAACTCTTTCCCTGCAAGTGTTTTTGAAAAAAGTTGCCAGCCACCACCAGCATTTTTAAGGACTTTCACTAAAATGTCATGGCACCCAGAATATGTTATTGTATGAATATCTGAACATGCAATACATCAAAATAAAGATCAGACCCTCTACTTAAAAAAAAAAAAAGGTTTTATTCTAGCTTCAAGCATGCTTTTTTTTATATATAAATACTTGAATGCAAGTAGGTTTCATAACAAAATGCAACATTTTGAGCAAAAAGCATTTTTATTAAATACTACATCTGGATCATATTCAGTAATATTATCAAAGCAAATATGCAGTAGATGGCTTCCATCAGCACTCCCAAAGCTTGCACACCACTTCCTGGATCGACATTTCACTCTGTAAAATTAGGCAGTTTTCAATTATACGCGGTTTATAGTTGATTGCAACATTTTCAAATGCATATGCTTACATACGAGATCTCTCGGCACATTCTACACTCATTCAGGAGATGCGTAAGAGCGCCCCCTAGCATTTAACAGCGAAAAACCCGGAAAATGCCCCTCTCTACAGTTTATTTTTCTAGCTGACTAATGAGTTTACGGTCACGGAATATGTGACGTTACGTGACATTGTTCACAAGCCATTATATTGACGTCTTTCTGCGGTTGAAACACTGATTGAGCGATTAACTTACCTTCGGATGTTTAGTCATGTTTATTTCGTGCTGAAACTGGTATTAAAGCAGAGGAGACGATCAGTTCACATGTGTTTCGCGCTGCCGCGTCTGTTGAACTGAGGCGCTACAGCGATCCGTCACTCCACATTAAGCAGCGCCAAAACGGCATTTATTGTCTGAATACGGTAATACAATGGACAGAATTATAAATCTGAGATTATGTTTCATATCAAAAGTAACAAAGCACAATGCTTATTGCGATTTATTTGATGGGAGGTGCGCTAAAATATTCTGTTCATTAACTGAAAACAAGCTAGACTAATCGATTCTTGGGATTTAACAATCGATATATTTCGTAAAAATGAGAATCGATTAAAATTGAGAAATCAATATTTTTTTACCCAGCCCTATTAATAATCCATAATCTCTAATAATGAAGCAGAAAAAGTCTCTTCTGCTTACCAAGGCTGCACTTATTTGATCAAAAATATAGTAAAAACAGTAATATTGTAAAATATGACAATTTATAATAACTGCGTTCTTTTACAATATATCTTAAAATGTAATTTATTCCTGTGATCAAATGTCATTTGAATTTGATCCAAATGAATTTTCAGCATCATTACTCCAGTCTTCAGTGTCACATGATCCTTCAGAAATAATTTTAATATGCTGATTTGCTGCTCAATAAACATTTCTGATTATTATCAATGTTGAAAACGGTTGTGCTGCCCAATATTTTTTTGTTGAAACCATTATACATATCTTTTTAGGATTCTGTAATGAACAAAGTTCAAAAGCACAGCACTTTTTTGAAATGGAAATATTTTGTAACACTACTATTGTCTTTACTGTCACTAAAGTCCTTGCTAAACTAATTTATTTAAAAAAAAAACTGCATTTGTTGCAGCAGATTCTGGGGCTTGTGGCATTTTGGTTTTGTTAGATCTCAGTGCTGCATTCGATACCATTTGACACACTATACTATACTATACTGGACAGACTACATAAGTGGATTGGTCTTTCTGGCAAAGCTTTAAAATGGTTCGAATCATATCTTTCAGAATGCACTCAATTTGTTTATTCCTGGTACAAACAGATCTCAGACTGTTCCACTGCGGCAGGGCATCCCTCAGGGGTCGGTATTGGATCCTACTCTTTTCAGCATTTATATGTTGCCTCTTGGGCAGATTATTCAAAAGTATGGTCTGGGTAATCATTGCTATGCAGATGATACCCAGATTTACATTAGTACTCAACCTGATGTTACATCAGCACTTTCAAATTTACCTGCTTGTTTACTGGAAACACAGGTCTGGATGAAACAGAACTTCCTACAGTTAAACTGTTCAAAAACGGAAGTTCTTCTGATTGGCACTTCAACTGCAGTAAATAGATGTAATCATTTTAAACTTACAGTGGATGAGTGCCAGATTCTCCCTTCTGTACAGGTGTGGAATTTGGGTGTGATTTTTGATGCGCAGCTGACTTTTAACACTCATTTTAAGAATGTTACTAAAGTAGCTTTTTATCATCTTCGGAATATTGCACGTATAAGACCATCTCTCTATGCCTGATGCAGAAAGACTCATTCACGCCTTTATAACACCTAGGCTAGATTATTGTAATTCTCTTTTTGCAGGGTTACCTGCTAATTTGATTAAGAGGCTGCAATATGTGCAAAATTCAGCTGCTCGTGTTTTAACTTGCACACCATCCCGCAGTCATATCACTCCTGTGCTTTCTCAACTACACTGGCTTCCAGTTCAATCACTTATTGATTTTAAAGTTCTTATCTTAACCTATAAAGCAGTACATGGGCTGGCCCCAGAGTATACTTGTAATTTGGTCACAGTTTCTACACCATCTCGGTCTCTCCGCTCTGCTGGTTCTCTTACTCTGTACCAGCCTCGTTGTAAACTCAAAACTATGGGTGGGAGGTCATTCTCTTGTATTGCTCCCAGGCTGTGGAATTCTCTGCCTTTTCTTATTAGGAATGCTCCGTCTTTTGAGTGTTTTAAGAAATTACTCAAAACATATCTCTTTAGTGAAGCTTTTAAGTTATAATCTTACAGTTGTTGTTGCCACTGTTGTTATTGTGTTGTCATTGTGATTGTTATTATGGAGTAGTGTTGTTCATTTTATTGTTGTAGCACCTTGAGTGTAAGAAAGGCGCATTACAAATAAAATGTATTATTATTATTATTTGTGAGGTGTACAGGGGTCTTGATGGAAATATGTCATATGTCATTAGAATTTCAGGTGCACAATGACGAGTTGATTATTACAGCATAGACCTAACTATACACAATAATGAATCAGGGCTCTACACTTCGACCATTTCAGTCGCATTTGCTTCTACGTTAGTTTCTACGTGTTTTTGAGTTGAGTAATGTATCACAGACATATCTCATGAATCCTTTCATAAGCAAAGTGCAGACAGGGTGTAAATAAGAGATTTATTGTGCAGGGTAGAGAGCTTGGTTGATTAAAAAACCACCACTGGCTCTGCACCCCTTTACCTAAATTCATTACTTCAGAGTGATGTGCCCTCTAGAAGCTTGCGTTCTGCAAGTGAACGACGCATTATTGTGCCATCTCAAAGAGGCACAAAATCACTTTCACAGACTTTTTCATTAGCTGTTGGAATATATATTCAACTCCTGGTGGAATGACCTGCCCAACTCAATCCGAGCAGCTGAGTCCTTAGCCATCTTCAATTAACGACTAAAAACACATCTGTTCCATCTTTATTTGACCCTCTAACTCTAGCACTCTCTATTCTATTTTAATTCTACTTTATCTATTGATCTTCTTTTTTTAT